GTTCCGGGCTGCTGTTACTGTGCCAAAGATGGAGCACATCAAATCGCACCAGGACAAACACAAGGCAATCGAAACACTTCCCCTAAAAGCACAACTGAACTGCAGAGCTGACAAACTGGCAGGCAGTTACATGAACAGACACATGAAACAGGACCACTCCAAGGTACTCCGATTTCCGGCAAACCTGGCCCAGCTGCACCTTCCCAAAGGCACATGCACATACAAGCTTCCCAGAACACTGCGGCATCTAAGGAACAACCAGCCCTTGTTTGACCACATTGTTAAACTGAATCCGGGTTGGGACGAGGACACCCCTGCTCTGGTTGATTGGACAGCCCATGGTCGAGCTGTCAACCGTCACGAGATCCACAAACCGACAATTGTGAAGTTTCTATTCCAATTGTTGCCAGTTGGGAAACGGATCCACCGAGACGACCCCAAGTACGATCACCACTGCCCCCGTTGCGGTGGTGATCACGAGACAGAGACCCATGTTTACAGATGCCCGCATGTTGACGTGGATTTGTGGCGAGGGACCATGCAACGAGCGATCAGCACAAGGTTGCGCAAGGATTCCACCGACCCCTTCCTCCTGGAAATTGTTTTGGATGGACTACAATACCACTTTGAAGATCGATTCCTCCACCCATGGCATTACCCAGACAGGTATAGGGACCTTGTTGACACTCAAAATCTCATTGGTTGGGACAACTTCCTGAGAGGACGTTTGTCCGCACACTGGGCTAAGCATCAAGATGCATATCTGCATCGGGTCGGCTCCCCGGAGCCCACCAAGACTGGGCAGCGCTGGGACACCAACTTAGCCTCACTGCTCATCCAGCAGTGGTGGAACCTGTGGGAGGATCGAAATGCTGCCAGGCATGGCAAAGACAGGGAAGACCAGTGGAAGAAGAAGCACGAACAGCTTCAGCGGGAGGTGGAACTGATCTACGAGAAATTGGATCTGATCCCAGCGGAGCTGGTGGATTTTATCTTCAAGCGACCGCTTGACGAGCAAATGGCAAAGGGCCCAGGCGACATCAAAGCGTGGCTTGCCAATTGGCTGCCCGTCGTCGACAAGGCACTCAGGGACGAGCATGCACGCACCGAGCAGAACAATGACACAGGGTAACTACGCACAAAGGGGGTCTTACCGTAGAAATAGATGGCAATCCAGCCAAGGGTAGTTAGTTAGCTGCAAAGCACCCTCCGGAGTTTTTAAACTTCTCCGGTGGGGGGCTTGCACTAGGCCGGTTCCTATGTGGGCGTCCTTGTACGTCTGAGGTACTCCGGTTCAATATGGCTCCGTTCAGCGGGTGGTCTATTGAGGTGCAGCCTAAATAATAAAACTTCGTTATTTTTGGAGTGCTGAGAGAAGAAGTGTTTGTAGCATTGGGTGAGTGTTGTGCTTGTCGGTGTATTTCTTGAGTGATGCCTTCTTCCATGCCGTTCGTTCTGATTGTTGCTTGGGGCATCTCAGGACGTGTTCTCTGTTTTCTTCTGGGGCTCCACAGGATGCGCATGCAATGGGATATTTGGGGTGGTATTTGTTGACCGTTTACCGACGGGGTGCCAATTGCAAAGGTACTTGGTGAGGGAGGTGCGATGGTGATCCAAGCGATTGAGTGCCCTCTCATGGCATTTCCAGTCGATATCTTCAAATGTGTCGCTGTCCCACTCATGTTTATTCATGAGAAACTGTTTGTGTTGAGGCACTGATCCTGCCAGTTTGAGTTCGTGTTTCAGATTGTGTGTGATGGTTCCACCTGGAAGATTGAGCTGACACCCACTCGTTGGAAGAATTGGGACTTGTGTGTGGTCGAAGTTTGGGTGGTCCACCAACCATTGGTTGGCTAGGCCGTCGGCGTCGACGTTGAGTTGGGCTTCCAGGGTTAATTCATCATACGGTTTCTCATCGTCCTGATGGCCTTTGATGTGTTTGATTTTAGGGATGGAAGTGGCCGGTTGGATTTGTTGTAGAGTTTGTCGAATTTCGGCGATAATGTCCCACTCAGCGGATAAGGTACTGTTTGGAAAGACCCTGTCGAATTTGGAGTATTTCACTGTGACCTCAACCATTGATTTGTTATCACAGAAGCAGCCATGCCTGTGGATTGGTATGTCTGTGGAGTGCATCGTGGTCATGTGGTGGAGGAATCGAAAACCGGACAACATCCCGTATCCTTCGGCTCGGTATGAGTTCAGTTGGTAACCAAATGCCGGACCGTTGCACTGAGCCAAGCGGGTACCTTGGGGGTCACTGAGGATCCACCCAAAAGATCCCTTACCATCGGGAGCTGACCCATCATAAGCCAGGATGCAAGCTTTCATAGCAAGAGCTGTCCAAACCTCAGTTTCGGGAACCAGAAAGTGTAAGTCCCGGAGCAGATGCTGTTCCCAGGCGTCCAAAGTAGGAATGAGTGTGGTGACTGATGTGTGTGTTTCTGGCTGCTGTTGCTGTATGACATTCTCATACCCCGTCATTTGAAATGTATAGGGTCTCACTTTGTAATCACACGGGGCCGCAGTTTCAGGTGGAGTGTTGACAATGCCAGAAGGTGTCTGGTCGAAATCGTATCGGATGCTCTGATGCATGGTCCATCCCTCGGGAATGCGACAATACATGTGATCGGAGATTTCCGTGTCAGAGCCAGCCAGGGTCATACAAGGCAGGCCATCGTCGTCGGAGTTGCGGTGCGGGGAGTAGCCAGGTGGAAAGGTGGTGTTCAGTTTTGAGATATTTCTTCTTCCTGGACGACATGTAACAGAAGTAACCCAGTGCCCGTCTCCATGCTTTCCAGGCTGTCTCGTTTGGTTTGGCTTGCTTGACTCGTAAGTGGTTGCAGGTGCTGAAGGTTTTGTCGAAATCCCCAGAGTACATGCCAGGGTCAATGGTGTCACCGGCCGCATTACAAACATCCGAGAGAAAAAACACATTGAGGTACATGCGACAGTAATTGATGTGACGGATTTTGCATGGCTCAAAATAAGCTTTGCCTGTGTTCTTGCCGCTGGTGTGGGTAGCTTGTACCACTACTGACATGATTGCTTTATCATTGGTTCTTTGTGCCTTAGGAACGTAGGGGTTCTTAAGTTCTAGATTTCCGTCAATGGATCCCAAAAACTCTTGAAGGGATTGAAGCCACTTGGATTCGAGGTGATGAGTCAATGGAATCTGGGGGGTTCCCAGAACAGACCAACTCACACCTGCACAGAACTGCAACCATGCCACGGTGATGTGAAGGAGTTTTCCCTGAGGACTGTTTGGGGAGCGCCAGCTTTTGATGAATTGGCGGCATTGGCCGTACCCCTGATCGTCATACAAATGAAAGAGACCGGCACCGCCCATGTATTTTGGCCCATGCAGAATTGCTTTTGGGGTGTTTGGGTTAAAACCCATTTTGGACGTGAAGGCCCGTTCGACTTTTCTTTGGGCTTTGTCTAGTTCATCGAAGGTAAAATAGGCCATTGGAAGGGGATAGGAGACACTGGGCCGGTAGATGGTCCAATATAGCAGGTGAGCTTCCTTCGGAGAAAGGTGGCTCGTTTTGACAATGCGGCAAAATTCCTTGCACTTTTTGGCAGTGATATCTAACTGGGTCTTTTTGTCAGCCGGACATTCGTAGCATCCCAGATACCTTGTGGCTTTGGTGTTGGCCCATTGCTTGATTGTGGTGCCTTCATCGTCGGAGTCAGCATCATTTTCGTGGAGTTGGAGGTCTGGTAGATCAGGTTTGTCAACAAGAATCGGTTTGCCGTCATTTTCAAAGATGAATTCCATGGCATGAAAGCCACACTTGGTAAGTTCTAATTTCTGATTGCAGGTGAGAAGGAGGTTGTTCCAGAGCTGACTATCAGCTTGTGCCTGTGCTATCAGAGTTTCCATTGGTGGTTGTGGGTCTTGTCCAAACTGGTTGGTGGAGTTCCGGGTGTCGTCTACGAAGCCGACGATCTTGATTGCTTGTTGTTGTTAGAAGCTTGTCCGGGCTCACGTATGTTGCCCCTTGTGCCTTGTTTTCGTAGATATCGAAAAGGGTACTGCAAATAAACAGCCAGTATGTGGGTGAGTTTCCACTCCCTTGACCTGTGCCAAACCAAGGGTAAGCCTGACTGTGTTGGACAAATTCTTCTGAGACGCCAAGCTGCGTTTTCAAATTATACCGAGCTTCTGCTAACGTTTTCCCTTGTACCACACACACCTTGCGGTGCATACCATATTTTCGACTTGCAACGTTGGCCAGAAAACAGGGAATACGGTCGTAGCAAGAACTGGCGTCATTGTCGAAGTGGAGTAAGTTACATCTTGTCAGTCGAGTCAATTCGTATTCCAACTCGCGGATAAACACTGCATCCAGAGCTTCCTTTCCAGGCTGGGATCCGAACTGGTGTTCGTTGACGTATCCGTTGTTGCAAGCATGGTGAAGAACTGCCCGCCATTTAACACTCAAGAGCAGATTGTAATCGGCTTCCATTAAATGGATGACTCGCAGCCGATGGATCTTGGGGCAGCCGGGGTTCTTCTCGAGCATGGCATTGACGATGGTTTTCCAAGAATCGAAACTGAAACCAAATTGGAGACAATAGTTGAGAAGAGCAAGGTGACCATTGAGGATGGAGTCCCTCTTATCCTTCAATGCATCAGCCTCAGGTGTGTCGTCTTCGTATGAATGTTTTGCTGTGTATGCTTTGAGATGCCCTAGGTGCATGTTGCTGCCTGGGGATGTGCTCGTCCTCTCATTCCAGACTTTGATTTTGCCCAGATAATCTTCCTTGCTGATTGTGGGGGAAATGAAATCCTTGTCCGACACATACTGCAGAGCTTCCAGGAATATCTTGGTAAGTTCGTCAAGATCGTCGGTGGGGAAGGTACCATTATAAGAATTTGATCAGCTCTCTGACATGTCCCAGTGAATTCCATGCTGAAGTCAGTTGGAGGATTCGTCAGATTGCAATTTTTTGATTGCCCAAAGTGTTGTCGGTTACGCTCTTGTAAAAGTGCCTCAATTTCTTCTGGGACATCCACTTGCCTCCAGTGTTGACACTCCTTGGGATTTTTGTTGGGGGTTTTCGGGGACTAGGAAATGCTTGAGGCCACCAGACGGGACCTTGTTCCGGATGATTCGAAGCTTGTCGAATATTGTGTTGGAATCCTCTGCTCTCTGGATGTGTTTTAGAGCTTTGACTAACTTTTTGTCCTCCTTTTCACGTGCATCCTTGATCAGCTGTTTTAGGTGTGCTTTCCGAAGAGGCTTGTTCTTCAATTCTTCTTTCATGGCTGTGGTGAAGTCTTTGGTAGCCTGCCTTTGGGCTTTCTTGCACTCCTCGACAGATGTTGGTAGATCGTATCCCACTGAGTCAAGTTTGTTTCTGATGTTCTCAATTTGATCTGAAAGATCTATGTTGGTTGTCATATGGCTGTAGACTGTGTTGAGCAGATCTTTGATGGTTCTCAACCGGACAAGTTCTGGGGAGTACGGTGCATCCCGGTATTTAGGCAGGCGCTTCCCAGCATAGATGCATGCCGTGAGGAGGCGATCGTAGAGTTGCTCTGCCAGAGTATGGTTTGGTATATTGTCACGCATGTGTTGTTGGAGGGTCTTTATCTGTTCAAACCAGTTGTGGTCCTCTAAATGTTGGTGTTTGTTGTCGAAATAAGGCCCAATTTGGTGAGCTTTTGTGCTGATGATGTCCCTTGCTTGTTTTCTAACCAACACCTGTGGATCATCCCCGAAAAACAAGTCTGTGTCAACATCGATGTAAACTCCTCTGTGATCACTAATCACATGAGCGTGGAAAGCTTCATAACCACATCGAACAATTGTTGGGAGCAGTTCCGGATCGATCAAGATGTAGTCCAGAATGTTCTTTCCACGGTTGTAAGTTGAGAAGTTTGCTGCTCCGTGTGTTGTCAGAATGGGATCAATGAGATTGCACTCGGAGCATAGATGATCCAAGCCACCCTCTTCCTCTCCTAGGTCCGTGTTGAAGTCCCCTGCTACCATTACCAGATGCCCTTTTGACTGAAGATCTTGGACGAAGCTAACCAAATCATTTGCGTGATGTTTGCGTAGATTGTGGGGTTCTTGTCTTCCTTCCTTGGTGTACAGGCCGAAGAGTTGGGTTGCATATGTTGTTGGCCCACTTGTGTATGGATCAGTTTTGACCACTTGGTAGGTTGTGATGACTGTCCTGGGAGACTCTCCTTTGCACCTATATGTCGTGTACACCCACCTTCCAAATTCGTCCTTGCCTTGGTCCATAATTCGCCCCTGATGATGACCTGTTGTAAGTTGCAAGATTCCACCAGGTTTCCTGGACTTGTCGGCTTTGATCGGAGTGGAGTGGGCATTCAATTTGAATGCATCCTTGTGCCCGAATGATTGTGTCGCGTCCTCCTTAAGTCGGCTTCTAACATATTGTTTTGCTGTGTCCAATTTTGTTTCCACTAACATCGAAATGTCGACTTGCATATCTTGCATTGTTTCACACATATTGAACCACCCCCCCCTGTCTGCTTATGTTGATTCCATTGGCATTGATGTAATAAAAGCGTGTTGTTGTAAGATCTTTGGGTATTGTCAAGGTATGTCCCACTGCATCATTTGGATTGTTGTCCGTTGGAATTATGAGGACCCTCCATCACCAACCGTGCTTGGGGCGCTGATGTTGCTTTTGTCGTGTTCTTTCACTGCTGCAAATTTGTCATCCAGGTTAGCAACTCCTGTCATGTCTTCTGTGGTGGTAGCTTCGTCATTGCTGTTCGTTTCTTGTCCTTCATTTGGATCCATGTCTACATCGTGAGTTGTCTGCTGAATGTGTTGCTGACTGGCACCCGGTGTAGCATCACGTCGACTTTTCTTGTGTAATGTCAAACCAGTGCATAGAATGACACTGAGGAGACCGTGCATGGGCAGGGATTGCGACGGGATACAGCTTACAATTCAGCTTTACAGCTTTACAATTAGCAGGCTTATTCTAGAAAATAATCAATAACTGCTCACTTATTTGGAAATACAAACTTTACATCTCTTAGATCCCTAGATTAATCAATGCACAATGGTATTGTCGCATGGTAGCATGCGAGGTTATGAGATGTTACTCATTCTTATTCTTATATGTCTATCCCCTATGGTTGTCAATGGAATGATCTATCCCCTGGTGCAGAGCCCAATCTCCACCGGTAGTCCTTCTCTTTATTGCAACTCAATCCCCTTGGATTCGCTCGTAAGCAATCCCCTTGCTGTTGATTCGCTCGCAAGCAATCTTCCATTTCATCCTGTTGACGATCGCAATCTCAACAAGGACGTTCATCCTGTCGTCGATCGAAATCGCGATGAGGATCCTATATACCATGGACTCCTATGGGAGTCCACCTTTTGTCCTGTTGACGATCATAATCTCAATGAGGATCCCATTATCTCGACCGCTGCAGGAGCCACTGCTACTGCTACTGCTATCTCTATCACCGGTAGAGCCTTGGCAGATGGCGATCCCATCATCACTCCTCGATCCGTGCTGAAGATGTCGATCGACCGAGTTAACAGAATTCAACGAAAAATGAGGCTTGACTGCATATATAAGGCTCGGCTTGTGTGTCATGCATTGAGTCATGCTTCATTACCCACTATTATCGATTCGAATTACCTGAGCTTAAGTCTTTTATTGAGTCATGCTTCAGTTCCTCACTTTTTCATTAACTCGTCGGAGAGGTACATTGATGTTGTTTCGAAACGATGT